GATATATGAGTCCTGTGGGTTCATGGTTCTTTTTTAGTGCAAACAGTACAGTCTGTTCACCTGTCCCATCAGCATTTACAGATATTTCCAGAGTGTAGCCTTTGAAATGTAGTTCTTCACAAGATGATGTCAAATGAACACGTGCTGTAAAGCCCACGATAAGATAGATAGATAAATCTCTCAATGCATCTGTGAATGTAATATAAACTTAAAAATCAGACACCATGCTTTATATCCTTTATTGAACAATAAATTATGTTACACAACTGGCACAGTTACTTACACCCATGAACTAAGGTCAGAGAGCTGCTCAACAAGATCAGAGATATAACAGAGAAGAACGGAGGAAGCCATTACACCACTGAAATGTTCCAAGCAGCAGAGAAGGTGATTGAAGAAAGGAAATAACAAACCCTGAAAGAGAAAGAAGAGGAAATGCGCAAAGAGTGGGAGGAACTGGAGAAGACAATGAAGGAAGAGTATGAGCAACAAATGAGTGAAATGAAGAATGACATGGACAAGATGAAGTTAAAGGAGAACTTAGAAAGAGAGTTGGAGGCAAAAATAAGAGAAATGAGAAAAAGTCACGAAATGCAGGCTGGACAGGAATATACATATCATATATTATACAATTATCCGTCTGTATTTTTTTGACAATCATACAATTGTCTGTTCTGACAAATTCAGTGTTTTTCTTCTCCCTGATTCTTATTCTATTTGCTTTGGTTGTTTGAATTGCTTACGTTAATGTAGAACGAAGAGTTATAGGCCTACTGTGTATATTTCTAAAGTTTTCCTAGATGCCTTAAAATCAAGAAGGCCTCATGAACCCCCATAAAGCTTTGGCAACCCATAGTGGGGGTCCCGACCCCCAAATTGGGAGCCACTGTCTTAAAACCCATGGTGGTTTATTCCTGCAATGTATGTACTTTATTTTTATATGCAAGGGAAAACATTCCTTGGTGAGAGAATATCTTAAAAATGAGCCTTCACATTTCTTATCTGAAAAGGGCAACCTTCAGTAAACATGAATCACATAAGGGTATATGGAATTACTCTAATTATTGCACATTATCTTCTACTAGTACATGCTATATTATAAGTGAACTCCTGAACTCATTGTAGTCCATTGTATTGCCTCTGTCATCCATGTTGAATGTTGAATAAATCATATCCCACTCTCCATCCATCTTTTAAAATGACAGGAAATGTTTGTTACCAGCGTAAAACAGGAAAAAACAGACATGACTAACGGGATGTTACAACTTTACAGATTCAAAATATAAGTACAAAATATAAACAACTAATAAATGATGATGTTCATGGCAATTGTTCTACGGTTAGAGTCATTCAAGCCTTACCTTTCAGTCCAATACAGTACAGTGTACAGAATTGAAGTGTTTTACACAACTGCAGATTAATAATATCTGATCTACCCCTCAGAACTGACCAGATACAACAATGAGGAGATCAGGATTGTGTTGGTGGGGAAGACTGGAGTTGGGAAGAGCGCCACAGGAAACACCATTCTGGGAACACAGTACATTAAATCAGAGTTCTCCCCTAAATCTTTGACTACACTCTAAAAAGGCAGATGGTGAGGTGGATGGACAAAAGGTTTCTGTCATCGACACTCCAGGTCTGTTTGACACCAGAACTGATGAAGAGAAAACAGTTAAAGATATTGTCCAGTGCATTTCTTATGTTTCTCCTGGACCCCACATCTTCGTGGTTGTCATCAAACTGGGCAGATACACAGAGGAAGAAAAGAAGACTGTGCAGAAGATTCAAGATATCTTTGGAAAGGAAGCAGACAAATACAGCATGGTTCTCTTTACCCATGGTGACCTGCTCAAAGGGAAACCGATTGAAGAGTTCTTGGAGGAAAGTGAAGAGCTGCAGGAACTTGTGGCCAAATGTAACGGCCAGTACCACGTCTTCAATAACGACCTGAAGGATCGTTCTCAGGTCAGAGAGCTGCTCAACAAGATCAGAGATATAACAGAGAAGAATGGAGGAAACCATTACACCAAGGAAATGCACAAAGGGTGATCAAAGACAAGAAAAAGCAAATCCAGAGGGAGAAACATGAGCAAATGCGCAAAGAACTGGAGAGACTCGAGAAGAAAATAATGGAAACACAGAAAGTGGATTGTACTTTCTCCGGCCTCTCTCCTTGGGTGCCCCCACATTCAGGTCTCTTTTCCTGGGTGCTTTGCCCCTCAAATCTCTCTCCTGGGTCCTTTTCCCTTTATGCCACTATAGACCCCTGATGGTAGGAGGATGTATCGTATTTTCTTTCAGAGGTCAATATAGATAAATGTGCAGATCCAAGTTCATTAAATATCACATAATGACAAATGTAATAAACTATAAAGATATCATGAAAACTTCTGATGAAACTTGATTTGATGCACCTCTCTCCAGGACGTTTGTCAGTGCCCTCCAAAACTGATAAGAACCCACTGTCATGAAAATTAGGAGAGAGAGAGAGAGAGAGAGAGTGAGTATTAGTATCAGATTTTTCTTTTAAGACATCTGCCTGCTCTGGCAATTGTATCTGGTTTAAGGTTCAGAAGAGATATTGTTTTTACGTAAAAGAAACTAACATGACTCAAAGGCTACAATCTATATGTGCACACAATGCTGATGGGAGGGGTGAACCTGGATGGCGGTTAACACACGGAAATGCAGGACGACTGGATATTCAAGCTATGCCAGATCAAAATAAAATGGAACTCTGAAAACCAATGGCAAAAAACCTACACTAAAATTAATTTAACAATATCTTTTCCTTCAATTATGGATATTTTAACACAAATAAAAACAGTATAATTCATATCCCAAATGTATTAGTTACATTTGAAAGGGTTAGCTGTTGGGGTTTGTAATAGCATATAAGTGTATACATACATACATATCAACCGTCATCAACCCTCTGCCTGCTCCAGTAGTGTAAGGCCTTAACATATTGGAGTGTTCCTGACTCTTACTTTAGTGTAGTATTCTGTTTTTGTTTGTTTGCTACATCTAATGATAAAATGTAGATGTGGGAATTAGAAATACACAACGTCTGTTCATTCGAGCTACCAGGTTGGTAGAGCAAGCCCGGGTACAATGTTTTTCTTCCTTATCAATGAAACCCTTTTATTTCTATGGGAGTAAAAGTAAAAACACTGTATCACAGTGGTGGTGAAGGTCAAACTCAGAAGTTTTTAAAGCAATATTTGTTGAACTGCTGACTGTGTTTGGAGCACAGATGTTAGTTTGACATGAACTGAGACTAGAGCCTTGGTCACACTACAAGACTTTCATAGTTGTGGAATCTTTGTACCTTCCAGACTACAAAACCTGTCTTGTGATTGGGAGTCTTGACGTTGATGTGGTTTTCACGTTGAATGATTGATCAGCAACAGACTGACACTACAAGATCTTTCACAAACAGTGTGTAATTTTACTCATTATCAGTTTAAATTTATCTACAAGCTGCCTGCACTTCTTTTAAGAAATAAAACATTTAACAATTCCTAACGTGTCTATAAAACATACTACCCTAGAGCATCAATATTATCAACATCAACATTGTCCATAGAGATAAACTGTATTCTATACAAACTGTGTGTTGTGTCACAATGTGATCCTCCTCATGGTAGCATGCCCCAAATTACTAAATAGTCATTGAGTGGAAAATCAGGGCTAAAATCACGTAGTGTGAACTAACTATAAGAACTACTAGTCAAAGGCCACACTATATGTGCAGTGATTCTTGGCAATTTAAAAGAGCTGGTGTTATTTCCTGCAAATGCTGATGGGAGGGGTGAACAGGGTTTGCTGTTTGCAGTTGACAAAAGGAACCACAGAAATGTAGGATGACTGGATATTCAAGCTGTGCCAGATTTATAAAAATAAAATGGGACAATCAAGGGTGTAAATCATTGCTGTCAATCATTGAACAGTTAGATTAAAACACAACACATGAAAGTAGAAACTAAAATGGAAATAAAATGGCAGCTCAAACTAAATGCTCCAAATTGTTGAACCAAAAAGTGGACAGTGGGACCTTAAGTGGAAACCTAAAGCTTTAATATGAAACATTTCGTAATAAACACTAGACCTATGCAATATATGTTGCTGAGTTGTGTACTCACATTATCCCAAATGAGTTTCACTGGTCACCTTTAAGTGGTGTCATATCCCCTTTTTGCATGCGTCAGCGTTGTGGTTGTCTGCCAGAGGCTGTCATATAATCATCAGTGTAGCAGAGTGAAAATACTCCGACTAGCCATTACCATTACCCCAATTATATCTTATTTAAGTTTTATCACTGTTTTATTGTCAATGTATTTTCTCATTCTTTGCATTTCACCATGGTGATTAGTTTTTCTGTATTTATTTAACTTTTCTGTATTAACTGTTTATTATCATATTTCATGCTGTGGCCCCTCCCTTATGGAGCCCCTGTGGTTTTTATAGTTGGATGTCAGCTCCAACTCCAGCTCCAACATTCAGTCCTCTGGCATATCTGGCAATCCGGGAGTCAGTGAGCTTGTTTTGAATGACAACTGGCACTATATTAGTCCATCCCCAGTTAGGGCTGGCACTAGTTGAACAGGTTTGCTGTTTGCAGTTTGCAGAAAGGACTATGGAAATGCAGGAAGGCTGAATATTCAAGTTGTGCTTATAAAGATGAAGTGGGGCAATCAAAGCTGTGAATAAGGAAAACATATAAGAGTAGAAAAATGAGTCTGAAAAGAAATAGGAAAGTTAACCAAAAGATGGTCAGCTGTATTTTAATGTAACCTATAAAACACCCTGACATTAGTAAATATGAAGGGTTTTAAACACATACATTCCCAGTTAGAGTTCATTGATGAAACATCCTACTGCAGCAGGACCTTAAACACAGTGTTCAATGCACTTTGACGTCAGCAGTGTTTTATAGGTGTGGCTTGTTGCATGAAGTCCTCATATAAAGACGTGTTTACTTCAGTTCAGCAACAGAGCAGCTCTTCTCTCCATAACTCAACTATGGCCAGCAACACTGGCAGAAATGGTAAGTAAATAACCTAGAATGATTATAACTTGTGTCTGAATATAGCAATGAACCAATATCAAGTTGTAAAGGCGGCAGCTTGAATTGAACAAGAAGCATTTTCCAAACACCTGTCTGTACACTGTCTGCATTATACAGACAGAGGTGTTATTGAGCCTATAGCCAATAACACAGAGAACATAGCCGACAATGGACTGTTTGCACTGCACACATTCTGAAATATATTAGCAGGAAGCTCACAGGTGTTTTTTTCCTGCTGTGACAAGTTAAAATGTCTGCTGTCTGCAACCAGTGCATCGTGTTAAGATAAAATAATAATCTTTTGTTTCCCTCCTGTGTGTGTGTGTGTGTGTGTGTGTGGGCGTGGGCTCCCTTCCTCAGTCTGGCTCCTGGCTCTGACTTTCACTGCTCACCTGCTCGTCATCAGTAATCAGCTGACCAGCCCGCCATCAGGCAATCCCCACTCCTCTGAACACAGCACTGAGGGCCGGTCAACAAGGGGTCACGGTAGCCCACCCCTCACGGTTTGTTCTTTTCTTTAAGCTACTTTGTTTTTCCCTGTCAGTCTAGTTGGCCTGTTGTAGTGTGTTTGCCTGCCTGTTGGTCATGAGGTTTCCTCCTGTTTTCTCTGTCTCCAGGATCACCAACCCGCTGCACCATCCTGCCAAGACCGCAGCCAGCTCTCATCCACGGGATGCACTGGACACCTGCTGGATTCTTCCCCCTCATCTCACTGTAAGTGTTTTCACAGTATTACGTAGTCTCAAGTGTTTCTTACTGTATAGGCTGTGTACAGTATGTTACTGTAGATTTTTCTGGGAAAATATTACTGGAATCTAAATACAGTAATACTAACTTACAGCAAAACCATTTGGTTTTATTGTAGGTTTTGACATCAGATCTCAGGATATTTTCCTTGTTTGTTGATTTTCAGGGGTCTCCTCAGAACCGACCAGATACAACAACGAGGAGATCAGGATTGTGTTGGTGGGGAAGACTGGAGTTGGGAAGAGTGCCACAGGAAACACCATTCTTGGAAAACAGAGCTTTAAATCAGAGTTCTCCCCAAAATCTGTGACTGAACACTGTGCTAAGGCCCGTGGTGAGGTGGATGGACAAAAGGTTGCTGTTATTGACACTCCAGGTGTGTTTGACACCAGAACTGATGAAAAGAATATAACTAAAGATATTGCCCAGAGCATTTCTTATGCTTCTCCTGGACCCCACATCTTCCTGGTCGTCATCAGACTGGGCAGATTCACAGAGGAAGAGAAGAAAACTGTGCAGAAATCAGAGACTCTGTTGGAAAGGAAGCAGACAAATACAGCATGGTTCTCTTTACCCATGGTGACCTGCTCAAAGGGAAACCGATTGGAAGAGTTCTTGGAGGAAAGTGAAGAGCTGCAGGAACTTGTGGCCAAATGTAACGCTACCACGTCTTCAATAACGACCTGAAGGATCGTACTCAGGTCAGAGTGCTGCTCAACAAGATCAGAATTATAACAGAGAAGAATGGAGGAAGCCATTACACCACTGAAATGTTCCAAGCAGCAGAGAAAGCGATTGAAGAGGAGAAACAACGAATCCTGAAAGAGAAAGAAGAGGAAATGCGCAAAGAGCGGGAGGAAGTGGAGAAGAAAATAAAAGAAAAGTATGAGAAACAACTGAGGGAAGCAAAGTCTGACAGCGAGAGGGAGAAGTTATGGGAAGCTCATGACAGAGAAATGGACGAGAAAATAAAAAACATGAAAGAAGAGCACAAAAGGTCGGCTAGAAGGGAAGCTGAAAACAGTGATTCAGTATTCGACACGATAATGAACTTAATAATTTTTGTTATTAAAAAAGTGGCATCCTTTGTTTTAGACAAAAATTGAGCTGGTTTGCATCAGAACTTTTCACTCTCTGATGTTTGGATGCAACAGCAGATTTATCAACTGTTCTGACTTCTTGTAAATCTTCACAGTCCTTTGTGTGATTTTATTGTGATCAGTTAGTCCAAAATTGACCAAATAGACCTATAAATGTTCATACATGTCACAGATTGTCAAGAACAAACATGTGAAAGTGATTATGTAACAAACCTGAATAATTCTTGCAGACATTGAGTGTGTTATGAGTGTCCATGTATTGTTTAATAAAGGATCTAAAGAATAGCTTGCTTATTTTTTTACAGTCAAAGAATACTCACAAGCCAAATCTGGACTGTGAGAGTTATTGGTCACTGTAATCATTCCTTCGGTTTAAAGCAATCCTGTGTAAGTGATAGGGGACAAAATCCACAATCCATGTAAAAATGTATTTCAACCTTCAGAAGAAGCAAATATAACGCTTCAGCAGATTGAGTTTATGTCTACAGAAATAAAAGAAACAACACATGAAGTTTTATAACTAGGTTCGGGAACAAAGACCACGCCCCGAACTCATCTCATTTCCGCTCAAAACATATTTAAGCACACCTTATCCGTTCACTCCCTCCTTGACTAATTTTCTACAACGTCAGAACCGAAATACGAAACGAAAGCAATACCTAAAATCATGGAGAACGAAATCATACTCAACCCGTCAGACAGCAAATTGTTTGACGACATCCCTGAGTCCTCTCCTTCACCTACCATCCCTCCTCGTCAGCCAGCCCGGAGCCACTCAACAATCCATGCTTGTCCACCGGCCTGGGTCCACCGGCGGCTCCAACACACCCACCGCTCCAGGGGAAGATCTCGTGTCCGGCATCCGACCGACACTCCTTCCTCCAGCCGCTCCGGGCGAAGCCTCAGCGACCCGGCCTCACCTCGCCACCTCGCCGATTGTCCCTAGGCTCAAAACATCTCGGAGTGGACGGTCGTTCGCCTGAAACGCGCCCTCACCTAGTGGAAAATAACCTTCCACAACACCGACAATAAGGCGAAACTGTTCCAACTCTTCACGGACTCCCAGCAGAGCAGCACCCCACATTGCAGAATTCCACGGCCACTTCTGTGTTCACAGCCTCACGCCTGCGGCAGCGCCAATGACATCATCACGCACCCAGCCCAGCCTCCCTCATCAGCCCTCCCAGAGGGCCAGGTCGTACTGAACCCAGAGCCTGCATTT